GGGATCCGTGTTGGAATGAGGGTAAGAATGAGAGGAATATATATATATATATATATATATATATATATATATATTCATGCATTTTTGTCTTGATCGTCTTGCTTCGTCTCTCTTGAATTGAGAGAGGTGGTCGATAGTAATTTGGAAATAGTTTGATTTATTTGGAGACAAGGAACAATAGTACTTAGTTGAAGGATAATGCAATATTAGTTTTTGGTTTGAGTTGATGCTTGTTTACGATGCCTCATAGCCTATTTATATGCTTTATGTATGAATCTAGAGAATTCCTAGAGTAGTCCTTTTTTAGAATTCTCTTTACAATCTTAGCTTTTCTTGAATATTTTTCTATGATTAGAAGTATCTAGCTAGCCTTGAGTCCTATATATTATTCTAAAGACTATTTTACAAGACTAATTGTAACACCCTCCATGTCGTTTAGATAATTAAGAACAATTTTTAGAAAAATGGACTTTATTAAAACTTTCGGATCCTAATTGATCCTTTAGAAAATAAGTTTGGAAATCGTCAAGCATTTTTCTTTCTTCAAAACATAACCCACACTTGAAAGATAGAATTTTCGTAAAGAGTGCTACTTCAACATAGACGGGGTTTTAAAGCAATACTTGTAATACAGCGGAACACAAAAATAACTTTATTTTACATACACACCCCGGTTTAATAGACTAGATTCCTAAATAGAGTACATTATAAATACAACTATAAACTTCTCAAGTTAAAACACTTAAAAGAAAGTGACTATAATCTTTGAAAATAGTCGGTTGATATAAAAGCTTGTGATTCCTCGAACTCCGCTCCACCAGTTTCTATAACCGCTTCGAGAACCTCAACCTTGACATGGGCGAAGAGTTTCCCCTGCTTAACGTATACTCACAAGGTGTACTCACGTAAACAAAATGTTATATTAACATGGGGATGCAACGACCAATTAGCTGTAGTACATATAGACATCAAGTCCCTATAGTCTGTATTAACAAATATAACACTTAAATGCAATATGACGGGATACCTATCAGATTCATAACATGGTTATCGGTAATAGACGTCGATATTCTGAGCCCGTTTATTAATGGAAACTATCCACTCTATAGTCTATAGTACCATAGTTGGAATACCGGCCCCTCCGTATTTCCGTGTCTACTCGACCGATAGCCATTTAAGATTCTGACTTCCTATACTGACCATGCAATATCATAAATGACAAATCATATAAACAATTCAAAACGCATAAATAAACATTCTCATACTTTATGTCAACACAATTACTATAATGTGACGGTATCCCTATCAGATTCATAACATGATTATCGGTAATAGACGTCGATATTCTGAGCCTGTTTTGAGGGGAGCTACCCACTCTAGTCTATAGTACTGTAGTTGGAATACTGGCCCCTCGTATTCCCGTGTCTACTCGACCGATAACCATATTAAGATTCTGACATTTCTATACTTGACCACGCAATACCATAAATGACAAATCATTCGACTCCAATAATATAACCATGTTAGATCAAACTTACACTTAGCATAAAACGCGTAACCATATAACACATAACCAAATAGCTAACAAACATAGTCCAACCATTTTCTTCCTAGAGTTTCTACTTCAAATAACTCACATAATCAATTCAAATTGTATAAATAAACATTCTTACAATTCACATATATTATGCAACGTACACGTACCACATACAAGAGATATCACATACAAGAGAAGGGAATTATCATATTATTTCATATAACCACTTTCATAGTTATAACATACCAACGTGATTATCTTAAATGCATCATTCATACGTTTTCTAGGTTATACATTTATGTTAACATATAAGCATACGATAATCACAATAGCACATACGCACATAATATATGAAGTTCCAGTCCACATACTCTATTCCAAAGAACTACAAGGAAATCTGGCAGCTTCGGTACTTCAACTTTGAAAATTCATAACTCTTAAACCGTACATACAAACCTAATGAAATTATCACACAACGTTCACATATATGCGATTTATACCATATTAAAACAGTTCAGTAAAATACCTATTCATGGGAGAGGAATAATTCATTTAGTACAGTAACACCAGCAGAATTTCAAAACAGAGCATTCAACTTTAAAAATACCAATTAAATCATTCTTTCAACCAAACACCATGAAATTTCTCTGAGAATCAGATTTATAAGTCTATAATCATATCCAGTTAGAATCGCATGAATCAAAACAAGATAAAATCCAATTTAACACATAAATCGTAGATGACTCAGTAATCGTGCAGTTTCAGAAAACGATTCATTACTTGATCAATATAATTCCAAATTACGCATACTGTATATCAAAACGAAGCTAACAGAAATATCTACACGCACAATTAATTTCATAATTTTCAGAAAATAAATCATCGATGAAACATGCACTGGAATCTGAGACTACGAATCGAATTAGGGTTCATTGAAATTTATATTTCATGACCTAGATCCCTAAATCTGATTCCTAAGCATATTAATCAATTAAAAACACATAAACATCATCTTATTATTATCATTAATTCAATTGGGACCAAAAGTCCTTACCTCTTTGAAGAAAATCGAATACAAGGAAGAAGAGGGAACCGAAGGATTCTCGGAGCTTTGGCTGAAGGAAGGCTTTTGGGGCTGAACTTGGAGCTATCCCCTTCCCCCCATCCTTCTCGATGGTTTAGGTGATTTTATAGGGAAATCAATCCCATTAATTAGACGTGAAACTTCCCAGAGAAGAAGGGGAAATTTTGATGAGTTTTCATCGAGTCTCCGGGGTGCAGCTGCCGTGGGATGAGAGGAAGAAGAGTGAAGACCAAAATCCTCGTTTCTTCTTTAAGAAGAAGAAGGAACTGCTGCAGGTAAATTGAGAAGGAAAGAGGAGGAATCTTCCTTGGCTTATACTAGGAAATTAGGAGGAAATTTCCCAAGGGCTATTATGCAATATCTAAAACCACAGGGGGTCCTAATAGCAATTCAGAAAAATAAATTATACACTAGACTACATACTTCAAACACATACGGCACATCCATAGCAAACACACACAAATCATTAATAGGTGTATCTATAATAATTAAATCATAGAATAGTAGAGATAAATTGCACCGATTAATTACCACATCATAACTCACGTAGCATATATATACACACAACATTCACATATACGTATCTACATTTATTAAACCATGAATCGTAAAACAATTAAAGATACATTGCAGATTAATTATCATATCATAATTCTTATAAGATCATTTAAATTCTAATTAAGCATGTACATGAGAGATAAATCAATATAATTTAAATTTCATATCAATATTAGCATAGACTAATTGTTCATTTAAATCACATAAATAGAATTACTTAATCATCTTATCAAATCGAGTCGCTCGCACGTTGCTCTAATATACACATAACATAAAACAACATAATAACATAAAACAACACAGTGTATATAATTCACGTAATCATTTAGGGTACGTAAAAGTTACTAATTAATTCATGAAATGGAAATTATCAATTTACTCAATATAATTTCATATAATATGCTTTATGAAAATGCGGGGCGTTACACTAATATTTTTTGATTATTCCAAAATTGAGCATGACTTTCAACATTGAAATGTGGGTTTTCTAGTTGCTTTCAATATTTTGTTTGGATTATGAGTTTTCTGCGTTTTTATATACACAAAAAATTGAGGGGTAAAAGCGTTCGAAAAGTGAAACATTGAAAACATTCATATATACATGAGAAACTCAATATGCCACATCATCGTCCACTAACAAATTGTAACATGTAAACGGAATGACAACTTTGCTACATTTTGTAGTTCAGTGGTATTTGGTACGATCACATAGTTTAGGGGTGTAAACTGAACTTTCTCCTAAATCTAATATGGTTGGGATACAAATTGTATCCGACATGGGCATTCAGTTTTACGCTTACAGTTATAGGGATTAATATTCAAGAAACAAAAACTCCCTCTTTGTATTGACGTCATTCGTGTAGACCATCACGTCGCTGAAGCAAAATGAAAACAACGGCATAATTATTTCTCCGAAAAATTATCTCGATACAGGCCCAAAAAAACTTGATCACATGTTGCTCTCTTATTCACACATCGTATGCAAAACCTAGGAGTGACACAGTTACATATGAACATATGGAACAATTGTACAACAATTCTATTCTAATTAATCTCTTGAAATTAACCGCGTCAATTATTAAAGAAATATGAGATTTGGTGCAAGAAAAATGAAAACATATAGGCTCTGTTTGGTAAGCTTTTGGGCTTCTATTTCCATTTTATTTTGGGGAAAGATATTTTGGGAGAATAATTTGAAAATTAAATGAAGTTTGTTTGTTTTTTGGGAGGAGACAATTTGTACTGTAGCAAGTCAAATCATGTTTGAAAGGTGTTGGGAAAATGTATTTTGGAAGAAGAATTTAAAAGATAAAGTAATTTGATTTTGATTTTTAGTGAAGACAATTTTCACTGTAGCAGTCAAATCATGTTTGTTAGAGAGAGAAATATTTGAATTTGTTTTAGGGAAAGTTTTTGAAAATAGTGTAGAAAAATAATTTTCATTTTGGGGAAAGTGTGAAAAGAATTTGAAAATGGTAACAAACATAACCTCTGTCACGCCGCCGTTGCCATACTTACAACACTATAGAGTTTTACGCAATATAATGAAGTAAGGCAAATTTTGATAACCGTATAGTTTTCCGAAGTTTACCGTGTGTTACAGTTTAATTCTAATTATTATATTTTCTTATCTTGATGATTTTTGAAGGCTGATGAGGTAATAGAAGAAGTGAATAAATGGGCTGAGAACGAAACAAATGGCCTCATCAAAAAAATACTGGGACCTGGTTCAGTTGATGCTAGCACTAGGCTTATCCTCGCTAATGCAGTGTATTTTAAAGGAATGTGGAAGGAAACATTTGATGCGTCACTGACTAAAGACGAAGAGTTTTTCCTCTTAAACGGAAGCTCAATTAAAGCACCTTTCATGACAAGTTGGGAGAGGCAATATATCCGTTATTTTGAGGGTTATAAGGTTTTGGGGCTACCATATAAACAAGGCAAAGATAAACGTAAATTCTCAATGTACATATTTCTTCCTGATGCAAAAGATGGACTACCATCCTTGATCGAAAAAGCCGGCTCCGAATCTGGATTCATCGAGAAACACCTCCCTCTTTGGAATGTCGAAGTCGGTAATTTCCGGATTCCAAAATTTAAAATAGAATTTGAATTTCATGCGGCAAAAGTTATGAAGGAGCTCGGAATGGTGCTTCCATTTTCAAGTGGTGATCTCACTGAAATGGTGTACTCAACTATAACTACTCGGGCGGAGAATTTGTTCGTCTCAGAAATTTTCCACAAGGCGTTTGTTGAAGTGAACGAGGAAGGCACGGAAGCTGCAGCGGTTTCGGTGGGTGTAATTATGGCCACCTGTTTGATAATTGAGGAGAATTTTGATTTTGTGGCTGACCATCCTTTCATGTTTGTTATAAGAGAAGATGTGAGTGGGATGGTTCTCTTCATTGGGCAGTTACTTGAACCCTCCACAAGTTAATTAACCGTATATACATGTTAATTATGCGACCTCTTTTGGTTTTGTGGTTTGGATTGATAAAAATATTGAGTGATTAATATATTGCGGTGGATATGATTGTGTAATATAATATGTGTGTATGTGTACAATTTGGTTTGTGTGATTGAGTAATAAGTCCTCGTTTACTTCTTGTTATGGGATCTAGATGAATTGATGTAATGAAGTACTAACTATGGGATGAGAACAAGTAATATAATACATGTATCGTTTACTTTGTTGTATAATATATATGTTGTATTGCATAATATTCTTGTTTACTTTGCAAGACTGATGACTTAGTTTTTGTGCTATGACAAAATTGCCCTCATATTTTTCCCTTCTCATTTAACCGTCATATCGTGACATGGAGACTCCGGTCCCTTCATCGACACTTGCGGCGGTGACGCCCCTACTTCACCGTCCACTCGCAATAGGGCCCAACAATTTCGTCATCTATCGTCGAGGATGACATCACCATTCATCAACTTCGTTCATTTCCAAGATTATTTCCAAAAATCTCAAATCCTCGCCGAAAAATAGTTAATCCCGATTGAATAATGGAAAAACCTTCTTGATCTGGCCGCCGACTAACGCATCTGATGATGCTAATTACTTAGATCACTTGGGATAGTGTGGTAAACGAGTTGGGAGAGCAAAGCGCATTAGTAGCTCGTCAATTAGATGGTCCTAAGGTCCCTGCGAAATAAACACACGTGAACTAAGTCGGCGGTTGATCCGGAGGAAGCCGAGGGTTGATCTGGCGGAAAACCTTCCTACGCTCAAGGCGGAAAACCTTCCGACGCTCAAGTCAGATGTACGGATCGTGGAGATGGTAGAGAGAATATGTGTTCTAAAATGTTTGTGAATAATAGAACTGTTGAATTTTGAATGCCTATGGAAATTGACTCATCTGTTGAGACAGACTACATGTTACGACATTAGGTGACGTAACAGAATTGTTGTGTTGTCACAGTAATAAATCTACGAAAAGCAGAATAAAGAACACAACAATTTAATGTGGTTCGGATACAAATGTACCCTACATCCACGAGGACTTGCAAAACTAGTTCAGATTTAAGTGTACATTAATAGGACTTAATAAAACACTAAAGACTCCCTCTTTATGTGATACGCCGTTCTTGCACACGACTCGAACTTGTTGATAATCAAAGCAATTCCTCCTCCGCACTCTTGGACTTCCTCCAATGTTGAACTTCCTTCAAACGGCGGATCGACCTCTCCCGAGATCTTTTAAGCACTTCTCCCGAAACGCCGATCTTCTTTATGGCTTGGTAGAAGAAACCTGTTCTGTTGCCACACCTGCCGTGCAGACAGGGCTGCAGCACGGGCTGCACCCTTCAAAGCCTTTATGCTGGGATTTTTCTTATTAAAGCTCCATCGGACTCATATGAGGTTGAGGGCCTTATATAGGCACGAAATCCACCACCCTAAACCTAACTTGGGTCCTAAGAAACCGATTAACTAGGTAATAGAATCCTAGTCGATTTCTACTTCTATTCTAGATAAGTACAAAAGATACCTAACTAGAATATAATACATGGAAACAAATCTAAGTCCTAATAACAATATTACAAAAATAGGACTCTAATTAATTCCAAAATAAACATGGAAAACAAATCTTTGCCAATCTTTAATTTCCACGTATGGCGGATTTCTTCAATCTTCACAAATAGAAATCTCGTGCCAACTGATACCAATTGTTGAATTTGAATGCCTATCAAAGTCCACTCATTTGTTGAGACAGACTACTTGTTACGACATTAGGTGACGTAACAGAATTGTTGTGTTGTCACAGTAATAAATCTACGAAAAGCAGAATAAAGAACACAACAATTTAATGTGGTTCGGATACAAACGTACCCTACATCCACGAGGACTTGCAAAACTAGTTCAGATTTATGTGTACATTAATAGGACTTAATAAAACACTAAAGACTCCCTCTTTATGTGATACGCCGTTCTTGCACACGACTCGAACTTGTTGATAATCAAAGCAATTCCTCCATCCGCACTCTTGGACTTCCTCCAATGTTGAACTTCCTTCAAACGGCGGATCGACCTCTCCCGAGATCTTTTAAGCACTTCTCCCGAAACGCCGATCTTCTTTATGGCCTGGTAGAAGAAACCTGTTATGTTGCCACACCTGTCGTGCAGACAGGGCTGCAGCACGGGCTGCACCCTTCAAAGCCTTTATGCTGGGAGTATGTGTTCTAAAATGTTTGTGAATAATAGAACGTACCTTAACAATTGAGTAAAAACGTATATTTATATGTCGTTGATTGAGTTGAGTTTACTTTGTTGGGCCCAAACCTTATTTTAAAGGCGTTTGGACTTTCGAGTAACGGATCCAATTATTAGATAAATTATGGACTCATTGGATTGGCTCAATTATGTATACCAGCATCCTCCGCCACAACTGGCTATCTATTTTCTACTCCACACAAGGAGGAAGCCCATATCTGAAAAATTTTATATCTTTTTTTTTTATTTTTTTTTATTTTTTATTTTGTAAAAACATTTTACTGAAATTTATTACTGAAGAATTCGCTTTTACAATATTTGCCAAAAGCCAGTTCCTTTGATTTTCAGAAAGTTAGTTCCAACTTCCAATTGATTTGCATTCAGTGGTGGTGATGAGTGAACATTAATTGAGGGGTATAAGGGACAATATACATTAATACATGGTGGGAGTATATACACATCCCACCCTTACCTGGGACGGCAGATCCGTGGATTAGGCCAAAACTGCACCCGGCCATTCATCAGTAATGGGCTCTAGGTATTCAAATAAGTCAAAGTAAAACATTACTTGGTTGAATAAAATTAGTATATATAATAAATATTAAAGGGATGGGCTTATTGGTGAAAGAGATATTGCCCCTAACCCTAGAATTATAAACATGCTTGGTTGGGGACTTATGCATAAAAACCCCTTTAAATTATTGTTGAGAACTCCAAATAAATCCGCTGCATGGCAGCACACACACTTTTTTTTTAATCTTATTTAAATACGTATTAATATCAAATTCTGAATATATTATACTACTTAATTATAAATGAAAAAATATCCTAAGAAATATATAATTAAAAATATGTTAATAAATTAGTACATGTCACATTGTATATTAGCGTGCACAAAGAAAGCCAAGAAGTCTTAGCCCTTAGCTTATAAAATCTCCCCTCAGGAACACACACTATTACACCTCCAGAATCACGCAGAGAAAACAGCAGACAATATAATGGACCACCGGAAATCCATCATCTCCGCTACGAAACCTGATCCAATTAGTGGGGCCCGCGAACTCATCCTTGACCAGAACGATGTTTCCTTGTCATCACTGGCAAGCCACGTCATCGCCACCCACGCCGCCAGAGACAAAAACCTCGTACTCTCGCCCATGTCCATCAACATCGTACTGGGCATGATTGCATCCGGGTCGAGCCCGGCCCGAGACCAGGTGTTGGGCTTTCTCAAGTCAAACTCCATCCAAGAACTCAACTTCCTCTCGTCAAAGCTCGTGACTCACCTGTTTGCCGCCGACAACAAGCCGCTCGGTGGGCCCCGTTGTCCTTCGCCAACGGCGTTTGGATTCATCAGCATCTCCGCTTCAACCCCGCTTTCGAACAACTTATCCAGAATTCTTACAAGGCTGCTTCTCATCATGTCGATTTTCAGACTAGGGTTAGTTCCTAAACCCTAATTCTCTAATTTCACTTTGGTGGTTACATATATATTGTAGGATAAATTACAGCTACCTCTGAGGTATGGTTAAATTATGAAAAATCTCCTCTTGTTAGGATAATTACATCTGTTCCTTAACTATCAATCTTCTTACACCTTCAGTCTTATGTTGTCAAAATTCAACATAATCATCTATATTCGTAGGAATGTGCTCTAGTTTGTACTCATTTTGTGTACAAATACAGTTTCTGAAGCATCACAATTTGATATATACAAGCCAAAAAACACATCATATGATCACCTTGCTTCAAAATATGGAGACCGAATGGGATAAAACGGGTACAAAGAGTTATAATATTCCATAAAATCAAGAAAATTCCACTAAATTTGAAACCACAAGGGTGGACGCGTAAAAAAATTTATAGTTGCGAGCAGTTGTTGTAATTATCCAAACAAAAGGGGGATTTTCGTAATTTTATCATACCTCAGACGTGATTGTAATTTACCTTATATATGTAGTCGTACTGTTCTATCAAGAGCTTATATATATTCCATTAAGAAATCTTGATATTTTAGTTGCTATTAATATCCAACAAACAATTTATATGCTAATCAATTATTACATTATTTCTCTTACATTGATCGATTTTCGAAGGCTGAGGAAGTAAGAGAAGAAGCGAATGCATGGGCCAAAAAGGAAACGAATGGCCTCATCAAAGATTTACTCCAACCCGGTTCAGTCAATGCTTTGACTCGGCTTATCTTCGCTAATGCAATTTATTTCAAAGGAGAATGGGACCGAAGATTCTAAGCGTCAACTCAAAACCGAGAGTTCTTCCTCCTAAACGGAAGCCCGATTCAAGCCCCCTTCATGACCAGCGGCAAGACGCAATACATTAGCGAATTCGATGGTTTTAAAGTGTTGTGTCTACCATACAAACGAGGCAAAGATTACGAGCGCAGATTCTCAATGTGTTTCTTCCTTCCAAACGACAAAAACGGACTGCCGGCTTTGCTGAAAAAAGTCCGCACCGAACCTCGATTCTTCGAGAACCACATCCCACGTGCTCGAGTAGAAGTTGGCGAATTCCGGATCCCGAAATTCAAAATATGTTTCGATCTCGAGGCTTCGGAAGTTCTCAAGGGACTTGGGGTGGTGCTTCCTTTTCGCATGGGTGGTCTGACCGGAGATGGTCGACGACTCCGATACTGACGAAGGGAAGCTTCTATATGTTTCTAGAATCTTCCACAAGGCGTTCATCGTAGTGAACGAGCTAGGCAGAGAAGCTGCGGCGGTTACAGCTGCTAGTATGATGTGTGGCTGTTCGACCGTCCTTTTCTGTTTGTTGTAAGAGAAGATATTAGTGGCGCGGTTCTCTTTGTTGGACAACTACTTAATCCACTCACTGCTTAATAATTTGAGGATATTTGACAAAATCCCTCCATTCAATTTTAACTTTTTAATAAATCCTTTTTTTTGTAATTAATATTTATTATAAATTAAACTTATTTAAATTATCTAAAATGCCCCTATTTACTATTA